ACTTTCAGATGTTTTACTGGTGATGTCAGCAGTTACTGCCATATGTAAATTACCATCTGTTTTTTCTAACTCAGAACAGAGTAATTTTAAAGAAAATCCAAATAACTTTCTTTTATGTGTGCTAAACAAATAAATGGTTCAATCCCTCCTTAGTTACCAGTCCACAAGGGTTCTCAGACATTCTCATGCTTCATAAACAGAAGGGTGAAGGGTGATGTTTTATGGCAAAATAATAGTCAAGGTGACATCAATTTCTCAGGAGAATCGATGGAAACCCTGTTAACGTTGGCTTGCAGATGGGAATACTCAGGTACAGGGATGAGAAATTACTTTTGTCACTATGTCAGTGGGAGAAATTATGTTTTCTTATATGCTGGTCCAGTGGAAGTCAGAGATGGAAATGCTTGTTTTATTGGGCTGCATCATGTGCTCCCTGCCCATAACTGAAGGAGTGGCATCAGCTAAACTGCAGCCTGGTGACTGAGCAGGCACAGGTTAACTAGTTCATCTCCTGCCCATACACAGTTTCTCAGCTACAAAACCAGTTATGTGCTAGGCTGATTTGTCAAGCCTCTATAGAAGTCACTGATACCTGTTTTGAGCTTCTAAATTGTATTTTACCTCTGTGGCCCTAGAATTTATAAGTAACAGCTGTGTAATAGCACTCTTCTACCTCCCAGGACTAGCATAAGGATTAAAAACCTGAAGATGACAAAATCCACAGATGCAACAGTAATTAGGGCCGTGCCAATGTGACTGGGAAGGTAAAGTTGATGCAATAAATGAAGACCATCAATAGCCATGTAGCACAAGCACTCCCACGTTCATTCTCCATGCTGCTCTTCCACAGAAATGCATGAAACTGTGTTACCCAAGCATGTGTGACCTCGCAGGAGCTTCTCTTCCACCTCTGCACAAGGACACACACCAGTGGCCACACGTGCATCAGGTCTGACCAGACAACACCAAAAGGTTCTACTGAGAAAGGTCAGAAATTTCACTACAAGTCACAACAAAGAGTTAGTCCTTGACAAGAAAAAAGTCAGTCAAGAGACAGTGTCAAAAGGGCCATGACCTCAATGTGTTTGGGCCTTCTGTGATTTTTAACTCTTGCTTCAGCAGTCTGTTTCTGAGATCAGCAAGGGAAAGCTCCACTCACACTGCACCACACAGAAGTCAGTCCCAATGCTGGCACCAACACTGAGGTGTTTCTCACAATGGGCTGCATTTGTGTCATTGGGATCGTGACACCTGAACCTGTTCAGAACTGAGTGACCTTTTAAGGTGTCGACAAGTTCACTTTGGCTCTCTGGTTCCCATGGACAAGCTGCCTCCTGTGGAGGTGGAAATGAATGGGAGCTCATGGCAATGGGATCCTCAGCATTCCTGCCTGTTTATCCCTGCTCTGGCAGCCTGGGACACGGTGGAGAACAGCTGTTCCATGTGTTGGCCCATAAGCCACCGCTGAGACCCAGCAGTGTCTGGAGCACCACAAGTTGCTCAGACTCCCTTTACCCATTTAGCAGGTAGAACGTGATACTTTCACCCTCTTTATGCCCAAATTCCAAAGAGAAACACTTCACATCTGTGAAATTTATTTATAATAAAAAAATATATTAAAACAACTCTCAAGGACTTTGTTTAGTATCTTCTACACTTCATGTTGAACTACTTTATGAAGAAAGCTGAACACTATCACATACTCTAAATAGTATCCATGTATTTAAATAAAACTTTTGCTTCTATAAACAGCTTAACTGCAGCAAAACATCCTGTTACCTGAGTAAATACTACTCAAGAACTGAAAATAATTAGATTTAGATCTTACAAAGCTGTTCTATTCACTTATCCATGTTGAAAGTTCTCTGCTAAGTCACAGATCGTGTATTTTTATGATTAGTTAGATTATGATTACTTGTCACATTAAAATACAGATCGAATCAACACATAAGTTATACGTGAGACTTAGTTCCCTTTGTCCACACATTTTGTAAGCTAGACTGAATTTTTTTAAATGCCACTAGAAAACAATTCAAATAAAACTCAGAATGGCACAATTTGGTTTTGCTTTATTGCTGAGAAGGCCAGGCTGGTGACTTGAGTAAATTTGCACAGCTCCACTGCCCCCTGTCCTGAGCCAGGCAGGGCTCATGGTACTGACTGATGCTCAGTTTGCACAAGATTAAGGAAACTACTGAAATGGGAGAATTCGGCTGAAACAATGAAAATCTCAAGGAATGTGAAATTCTCTTCTCAAATACAAATATCTATCAAGTATACTGAGAAAACTATTTAAAAGGCTACCTGCTTGTGAGTGAAGAATAATGATAGGCTTTGGAATACTTGAAAGTATGGGGATGGTCTACTCCTCAGGAGCTGCTCAAAGATTTCCTAAGCCCAATACATCCAGTAAAACCAACGATTTTCATGCTAGAGATGATTCCAAACCACCAGATTAAAGACATGGGAAGGTGGAAACCTTGATTAAGTATTGTTTTGAGCCTCGGAGTTCAACATGCTCATTTCCTAAGAAGCACACACACAAAAAAACTTTGGGCTTGGCCACTACAAACACGGTGCAAGTTGCAAAGCTGTGCAACCTCCCTTCCCTCCTGGATGGAAAAGTGATGCAAGGCAGTTTCACTGACTTCATGCCAAGCCATGCCTTAAATCAACAACAAATGAAAAGCAGAACATAATCATACACACATCAGAACAAGTGTTAGGGGTGCCTTAAGATTTATAAGGGAAAGAAGTAACACTTGGATTTTTGTAATTTTCTGTTCCTTGAACAGTCAAAGTTCTGCAGCATTAAAATACAGACAAAACAAATTGGCAAGTAAAGCAGCTTCCCATTGACTTTATAATCTATCAAAATCTGACACTTTTATGAGCAGAACTTTAAAAAATACATACCTATAAATCAATTAAAATATTCAGAGAAGCATACAAAACAGTTCAGAAGAGCACAAACTACAGTACAGGTTCCTTTAAAAAATGGCTTCTCTCTTATATTCTGAGTCTTCAATTCACTGTCAACCAGGGGAAAAATCTTTACTGAGTAATTTCCTAGAGAAATAATATTTATGTAGCCAAGGTTCTGCAGCTGGAGCAGGGAAGTGCACAAGATTATCGGGTGGTCTCTTACAATACAGGACAAAGAAATATTATATTAATAACAGTAGATGCAGTATATTTTTTATTACGGAATTTTCAAAATTAGCCATATGAACATAATAAAGGAGAAAATTTCTCACTACCTACACTAAACCCTACAACCTAAGATTCATTGATAAAGTAACAGGCCATTTTTCATACTCTGTTCGCTGTATTAGCTGAAAAACTCAGAACAGTAGTACAGTTTAAAGTACTTGGCATATGGATCACAGTGCTAAAACATTCCACGCTGCACTTTTACAGCAGAAATTCATTTCCAGGTAAGAACACAGCATTGCTTTTATTTTACTTGCTAACGAGGGTAATTGGCAGGCAACACTGCTGCTGCTCTAGATTTGTTCTTTATATGGATCTCTGAAGACCACATGTGCCTGCAGTGGTGACAGAAATATTTTCCATATGAGCCACCACAGATTTTAAGGTCCCTCAGTCTGGACAAGGTGAGTCCATCTATCATTTTCTGTGCTCGGTAACAATCAAGCAGGAAGTTAAAAACTCCTGTGACAACTAGAGGGCAATGATCAGCTTCCAGTTGCTCTGATCATCAAACCACTTAAATTTGTTGAGACTCTGCTGAAAACTTTTCCCTGCTTTCACTAGATCAAAGGCAGCTCAGGATTTCACTGAGTCATTTTCTTGAATCAAAACCATTACAGCTTCTCTTATTAAACCACCCTGAAAGCAAAATAAAGTTTCTATCTAGACATATGAGCTACAGAGTGTCAACCACACACTGTTGGACAAGGTGTTTTTTTCCAGTTCACTTCCACTTTCTTTTACCAGAGAAAGTAATGGCTCTGGACTTCATTAGGCTGCTATAAAGTTATGATAGGGCTAACAAAAGACAAGGCTCTAAACCAGAAACACTGTTTGCAGAAGATTTACTGAAGGAAGGCATATTTATGGAACAGAACTAGCCAATGATTCCCTTAAAATGCACAGCTACACATCACATTTCAGTCAGAGCGAGCCAGAATGAGTAACAAACGTGGTTTCTGCTAATAATTTCATTAGATGGAATATTTTTTATCTAATGGTACTGTGCTTGCTGAATTATTTCCTAAATGGTAAATGACCAGCTGAAAATTTCTGCTTTGGTATGAAATAAGAACTTGATGACAAACTGCTCTGATGAGGACAAAAATCTAGAAAACGTCTCTTCGTAAATCAAGTAGCAACTTTTTAAAGCATAGCAAGAGCTGTTCTATTCCACTGTTCAAGACTGAGGAATTAGGAATAGAAGGAATGCATAAAGTCCCTCTTTAATGATATGATATGCATTTTTTAAAAAATCAAGTTTTTTTCTGCCCTGCCACATACTAAACATTACATGTATTTGCACAAAGAGAATGTTATTAATGAAGCCTGAAGTTTTCACATGCCCACATCCCCAAAATATAGCCTGTGTAAAAACTTCAATAGTGCACATTTTTTTGCAGAAAATATGAACAAAACACTACCACTACTGCTGCTGAGTATCATATTTCTCTGTATATTAGTAAAGAAAAATTCACAAATTAGTCATCTCTCACAGAAAGCGTACTGTCGAGAGAAGTTAACTTGCAAACTGCTCTCCTTTAGTACCTATGGACTTTTGCAGAAAAACCCACAAAAAACCAACAAACCCAAACCAACAGCAAAAAAGCAAACACAAATCCCCCAAACTAAACCCAAACAAAACAAGAGCTTTTTACACACGAAGCAAACAAGGCAATTCTAAAATGTCTAACAGCATAAAAATCATTCACGGTCCATCTTAATAGATATGAAGAAAACGCAACTCTGACAAGACAATTTTTGACAAGACATTATACTTTGCTTACCTCACCCCCAGGTCTTGCTAACACTGCTGTTTGAAAGCAGAGCAACGTTAGTATCAGGTAGCTGACAAACATTATTACCCAAAGTTAGAGCTACCCTGGAGGAGAGAACCCTCTGCCAAGTACTAACAGCAAGCAGATGCACTTGTGTCTCAGTATCACAGCCCTCAGCTCTCGTAGGTACGAGTCTTTCTCCCTCTCCCCCTTGCTCTCGCACTCACGGTCCGACCAGGAGCTTTGCTCTCAGCCACTGCTCTGAAGACAACTGGTAAGTTGATCTCTTCATGTAATGACTTCTCCCTGCTGGGGGAGGGGGCTCGGCCAGCTCGGAGCTGGGGGGCTGCAGGCAGTAGGAAGCGAAGAAGGGGAGGGACAGGAATGGTCACTGCCAAGTTCTGCATCTGCTGTGATTCATGGAACAAGCTAAACGGTAACCTTTAATGCACGAGGAGGTTTGGCAAAGCGTTATTGACTTAGGCAGGCATGATTGGAGAAACAGGCTAACGCTGCTTGCAAGAGATGCCTGTTGATGGTTAGACGGCATGTGCTACTTAAAGGTACAGCACCTCCTTTTATGGAAGGAGTTTGTAATGCATAAATCATAACTTAGAATCTAAGCAGGAAGCAGCCTATGGTTTCAGTCAGCTCCACATCAGCACAATCCTGCAATCCCAATGGCCTGATCCTGCCAGGGGCTCGGGCAGAACCTCGAGCTCTCACTCCTGGCCCCGGGGTAAGGGCAAGGGGGACCCAAGTGCCCATTGGCTCTCAGGAATGTCACAACTGCTTCCTGGAATGGACCCCCATCCTTCAGGATAATCCTGGAGCAGGATATGGATATAACCTCTCTTTCTTTTTCATATTATAGCTGAATAAAGGAAATTTTGATTTATAACAATCCAACTCATCAAATAACCTGGTTTGACCAAGCAAGCAGAAGTGCAAGCCTTTCTTAAAGTTCCAGCTCCTGAAGTCAAGAAAACACACTATATTCTCATCTTTCATGTAAATACATACTTCTTATCCTTATGGTTCCAGGGGAAATCTCAAAAATATGACCCAGGAATAACCTGGTCTCATATGTCAAACAGTAAACCACATGAACTCGGAATACAGGTACTTTAAAATATCTCAACACTTTAGGAGGCGGGAAGTAAAAATGCTGGTGAAATTGAGAAGCACACCATTACTATATATTACATTTCTTTCTGTAATTTGGTAAGTTTTGTATACACAGCTGAATATGTCAGACCCTTCAGGCTATTTTTAAACTGGCTTTACCAACCATTCTTTTCCTCTCCTACGAGAGGTGAAAGATAAAATACTTTTTCTCAGAATTGCAATTAAATAGAGTCAAACTCCTAAACCAGTATAGCAAATTAGCATTCTCACTGCTGCTGAAAGTCCACATTCTGCTGTATTTGCAGTTGGACATCTGGGTCTCCAGCACAGTAAAATCTGATTAGCTCTACTAACCAGACATCATTGTCACTCCTCCTACTGCCCATAAAGAGTCCTACCTCTTCTCCTGCCTAACCCGACTCACAGTGCTGGCTCTCTTCTACACCTACAGAGCAGCCTGCCCTTTTTTAGCCTCTCAAATCAGCAGAACACCTTTCATGGGTCAGCTGTTTTCTCCCTTGTTGATCCCCAGCTGTGCAGCTCCGTGGTCCCGGGAACGCTCCCGCCAGCCCCGTGTCCAGGGAGGGCACTCCAGGCAGGGAGAGATGCAATGGAGGCCACACAGGATGGGGGGTCTCACTAGCAAAGAGTCCTCCCTCCTCAGCTGCCTCCCCTCGAGGGAACAGCACAAGCTTCAGGAGGTTTAAAAATCCAGAATGAGAGTTTCAGCACAAGGAGCTCCAGAGTGGTTCTTCCAAACGATCTGAATGATCACAGGCAGTCGGCCACGGCGCGGTGACAGTGGGGACCGGCAGCCAAATCTGCAGTTATTGAAAACTCCACACAGCCCTTAATGGTACTTTCTGACAAAAACCACCCAGAACTCTCCACTGCTATGTTGATCTCACAAATACAACACCTCCCTTCAAAACCCAAATGAAAGAAGTATTTTCCCCCCTTTTAAGGCGAGCTGAAGGTTTGTAGATTATGCCGTGGTGCTGACAGCTAAATGTAGAGCTGCCATCACAGGTACTTTGTACACTGGTTGCCTATGGCAAAGCCTCCAGACTAAAAATGTAAAGCCAAATAAACTTAAGGAAATTTTCCATCAAAACCCTGTCAGGAAGCCAACCTGTCCTTCCATATTTTTTTGAAATATTTAGATATACCACAAAAGGAAAAAGGATAGTGAGCAAACTGCCAACTAAACCGGAGTTCAAAACACTTCCAACGTGAGAGCTCCAACCATGATACTTTGAAAATACAGTTTCAGAGCTTGAAAAGGTTTTAAAAGAATACACCATTTCAGATGTTGCAGTGTGTAACAAAAACTCCAACGACGAAAGCTGCTTCCATAAAATTAAGCTTTATCTTGTTTTTCTGTTTTAATCACTAGTTTTTGTGATTAAATATATAGCACAGGCACAAAATTGCCAATCCTCTCCTTTTTAATGGCAGGTAGAAAAGGGAATTTTAAAAAATTAAGAGTAACTGTGAATTTAGGTTTCTTTCTGCTGATCATTCCAGAAAGCAGGATATTCTCTGTAAATAATGAACCACCTTGAAGTCTAACTGAATATTACCAGGATGAGTTTCTGAGCACAGAAAACTGTACTACATTCCCATTTAATAAGTCATATAGCTAATTCTTTCCATATGCATTTAATTTTTCCTCTACAAAAAATACAGGCAGAATTCCCTGAATTTCAGAAGCTGGTGCTCTGTTCTCCATATTAAGACAAGAGATCTGTTCATACCTGCTATTATGCCTTCAAGCTTTATCCCACTGAACTGGATGGAATTGTGCATGTTCACAAACACAACCACAGCCTTTCTTTGCAGCACAGAGAAACCTGAAACTTAACACTGAGCCAAACTTGCACTGCTGCAGCCAAGATCAGAACTCTGCAAACCTCAACAATCACCACATTAGAGATTAAAAAACTACTGGAGCAATAGAAAAAAATCAGTTTATGACTGATCAGCTATTTCAGATATAAAGTTCTGCAGTAGTGGATAGAGAAGCCAAAATACCTTCCAATAGTAAAAGGGAAGAAATGATATCTCTAATTTCAACACAAAAACATCCTTGTTTTTACTTAGAAACATACAAACATAGCAAAAACAACAGCATAACTATTTTAGGTATATAACTGAAATAGAAAATCTGAAATTATATATTTTTAAAAAACAAAAAAAGCCATCAGAATCTTTAGGGGAAAAGTCCCTACTGTTTGCTCTCAGAAACAAAAATACACGACACAAACAATGCATCTTTGCACAGCACAAATCTCATTAAAAGAGTACTGACTTTCACCTGTGAACAAATTACCTGTCAGTCTCCAGGGGTTTGTAAAATCAATCAGTTTATGAAGTTTGTGACCAGCTTCCTCCTGAGGCAATTGTACCTGAATCTCAAACAAGGACAAGTTTGTTGAACTTAACAAAAGCACAAAATTCCCTCCCAGGTCTCTCAGGCTTCCAGTAACTCCACGTGAAATCATGAACAGTATGCTCAGGTAATATCACTCACAGCTACTGCTTTCTGCTCAAGGTATATTAGCTTAGAAAGCTGACCAAGTTCCTAATAGAAAAGTAATAATAGGAGAAAACATGAGTCAAAACAAGATTTTAAAGACTTCCTTTCTACTTCCTACAGCCCTAATGTTTGTAGAGCTCAAACTCTCAAAGCAAGACAGCATGGGGGATAACTATGTACTTCAGGCTGAAGTACTTCAGAACCAGACACGGACAATTTCTGTGTATTTTGAAGTATTAATAAGTACATTAACTGTTTCTTAAAACAAGTATTTAAAACAGCATTAATTTACTTTGGACAGACACCATCTTCCAGGAATCACTAACAGCAAAAGCAGTAGACATATGACTACTTAAGAAAAGGTGTTAGGTTTTTATTTCAACGTTCCATGTAAAAATTTAACAGAGGAAAGTTGAAAATCTATTATGTTTTGGTTTTATTTAACTGGTCATCTCTCCCAGTGGGTGATCTACAGGTTACTTAAAAAAAGAAGCAACAGAGAAAATTTTTACATTGAATGAAGTCATATGGAAAGATGGCTGCCATATTTATTGCTGTCAGACAGGCAATTCCAGCCATTTATCTCACTTCACTTTCTACAGGAAGCATTTCCTTCTGAATTTATTATTCAGATGTTTTAAGGTTAGAATAAATTACTGCTGTCCTTTAGCCTGAACTGAAAGACACCAGCCATAACATTTCACTTCAGATCTCTTCTATGAGGTGGTTTTTTTTTTAATTTTATTTAAAAAATAAAAGTGTGTATTTAATTAAACACTTGAAATAACAATGTTTCTTGCCACATTATGTGTGTCTGAGCAGACAGGGAATTTAGACTGCAGAAAGAATGTATTTTCCTTGAAGATAAAAGCAGTGTACTGAGGAGAGTGAGTGCAGAAAAACGCCACTCCCTGCCCTACCTTCTTGGATTCAGGAAATACTGCAGCTGGACCACAGGGGGATTTCTGTACCTCCATGGAAGCTTTTACATCCACTCCACTGCTTTCTGCATTTCACTGGCCAGAGGGGGTGGTGAAAGAGAGCAAGAGAGTCTCTCCTGTCCTCTGCCCTCCAGAGTTCCAGCAATTCTCCTGCAGTGCTGCTGCCAGAGGCACCCTCACACACTCAGAGTCTGCACTGCAGCAGCACCTCTGCCTCTGACTGACCAGCAACAGAGGAAATCACAACAAGGACAAGAAGGACCAAGATGGAGTATTTGGACTTCCCAACCCCAGCCAGCTTGGGAGGGAAGACAAGGTGTGAGCTGTGTCTTACAGCCTAAAGGCTGAGTATGTGGAGCCCTGTGAGAGCAAACCTCAGACACTGAGCACCTGGGAGAAATCAAGTCCCAGAGTCTCATACATATTTCACTGCATCTCAGCAGTTTCTTCTTCATTGAAATTTTAACTCAATTTAAGTATTCCATATACTA